TGAAGACAAACCATCTTACTTCGAACCCAATCAACTTTCAACCTGTTGATTGTTTCCCCTTTCCTATAATGATTGCATGATCCTGAAGCCCGTTCTCTCTATCAGGTCTACCCGGTCATAGCTATACGTAGTTTGACCGTGGTCCACGTTTTCCTTAATCTCCAAACCGGCACTTCGCAAAGATTCTTCAGGTACTGTTCGTATCTTTCTTCGAATTTGAATCGTAGGCAGTCAAAGTAAACATTGTTGAACAGTCCTCTGTAAGTATTGGTCTGTTTAGAATTACATCCTATCAAATGATTCCCACATTACAGAACAATAATAAACTTTGAATTTGTCGGGCAAGATTTGAATTCTGGAAAACACATAATGAAAGGCGATTAACCTTTCTCATTACATTCCATGTTCGATGTAAGAATGTTTGAAATATTCATTTGTATGCCCAATTTCTTAGCTTCAAGTTTTAATGAGATATAATAGCAAATAAGGAATTGAAAACAAGACGTGACACTTAGTGATAAACGTTCAGGCATCTGTTACGTCTCCATAGTTTTAATGTGAATTGTTCAAATAAAGATTGAAAACACACGAATTGAAGGATTGAACCTTATTAGTCAGGAATGAAACGATTCTTCAATTGCTGAAGCAGCATTTCATATCATCTTGTATCTATAGATATTCGTTTAAAAACAAATATGAGAGGTTTTTACATCAAAATGCCGGAGATAGACAAGGGCGCGTATTTCAAAAAAGGCAAAGACGGACAAAAAAAAAAGCGACCGGTCATCAAGAAAAAAATTTTTTTTAAATGGAAAAGTGGCGCGCATTGAGTTTTCATTTAGTATTCAAAGTTTGTAAAAGCTGGTAGTATATCACATGGAATGCTGTCTAGTCATGGAGATGAGTATGTTCAATTGTTTTTTATAAAAAATTTAAAAAATCAAATATGTTTAGTTTAATCAGGTGTAAGCAAACGAAATTCTTTGATGACTACTGTGTGGCAGCTACTTAATAAGCAAGTTAGTTATATATATATTCAATGATTCTGTCAATACTAATCTTTGAACATCTATTGCATTATTAAAATTGGCGCGAAAGTTGTGATAAGCTTAAGTAAGTGTGAGAGGGCAATCTAGGGTGTGTGATGTGTATCTGTTTCGTTGAAAAATATAATTTCAATCATATCTCCGATTCATATCACACTTTTCGCTTATCTTAGGTACTAATAATTAGTAGGAAGTATATATGCCTTTGCCTGGGGTGGGTTAAGCAAACAGAGGTTACATCTCTCATGACCTATTGGATTAACACTTTTGCTCACAATATGTTTTGGTTTGGATTTTATTCTCTCCTTCTTCATACCTCACATCTCTCATATGTTTCTATTTCATTCAAAATTCATTTTCTTTTGCTTTTCTTTTTTTTTTTTTGAAAACTAGTCATCTAATGATGGTCGATAACTCATTCGTGCGAAGGTCATTTACCTTCTTCTTCACATACGAAAGCTTATGAGATTCTGTCTACTAACCCATGACAACTGGTAAAATGGTACCTGCTGGCCTGTATTACTACATAGTCATTTTCTTTTTGTCCTCTTCTTTATCCCCGACTATTTTATGATCGTCAACCTCTCAACCTCATGCTGTAAATGTAACAGCACACACGGTTTTGCCAAAAAAAGATTTTTTTGTTACGTCTGTTGTTAGAGCCTGTTTATTTCATCTTTTCAAATAAGAATCAACTGATAATTTCTTTTCATTGAGCGCATGATTATTCAGCCTAATCAAGCCGATTAATGACTAGATTATTCATCTATCCATTAGTTCTCTTGGTTGATGATGTCATCAGCTTTTCCTCATCATCCAGTAATTCTCTTATTTAATGTATTTTTTGTTCTTTACATTTCTTTCTCTCTCTCTCTCTCTCTTTCTTACTCTGTCTCTTTGTCTCTCATAAGGATTCACATTGTCATGCAAATATGAACTGTTATCTGTCACTTGATAGACTTGCGGATTTATTTCTATTCATCGTTCATATCCAGCCGAGTCGGAATCTTTATCAGGCCTTTCCCAGAGGTCATCTATTCGACCGTTACGGCCAACCACTCAACCCTAGCCATAGATTTTTGCTCTATCTCTACATATTTCTCTACATCACTCTCATAGTATCTAGTGATTTCTAAATAGATCTTCTCCCTTCACCTAACATTACGAGTATAAGATAAGCATCGGCAATATTTGGCAGTTACGGCCAACGGATATACTCAGTTGGCTGTATGTGTATGTATATGTATGTGTGTGCCAGCACATTGCCCTCAATGTATTGATTAGAAACACGTTTTCATTAGACTGTTATGACTTACTCTAATAATTGTTTATACATACTCATATCATATTCATAACTAAACCATATGATTTCATTTGAAGAAATTAATTCTTCCTCATATCTTGCAATTACGACATTGCTATGCGATAGCGTTCATACGAAGAAGCTGTTTAAGGCGTGTCGTCCTAGTCTTAGTCTCTTGTCTAATCTGCTAGAATGTTGTGTGTATCTGTGTGTGTGTATTAATCGGTAGCCTTTATACGTCTTTGTGAAAATAGATTGCTTAATAAGATATACGGTCATTTCTTTTTTTTCTCCTTTTTGAAAATCATTCGACTGAGAGCTCTTTCGGTCATGATCATTAGCATGCACCTGTTATTGCTGTCATTATTTTGTAGTTGACCGAACAGAAGCGCTGTCCTTATAAGTAATTATCTAGATGACCATATTGTTTTTTCTATTTTATATGTATATATAAGCTTTTACTAATATATATAGTTGTTGCACATTGACATAGATGAAATGATCCGTTTTACCATACTTGGTGGTAGGAGCGCAAGAGAGGGGAGGGGAGGGCTGTCGGCTCTAGTCTGAGAGCTTTTTGAGTTGTGTCAGGTAAATATTGACTACAACGATGTGGAACAACATGAAGTAAGATGAGAGTCTTTCCACTCAAATGCTCATTTTGTATGTACTTTATGTTATATTTCTAATTGATTGATGACAGCTCCTTTTTTGGTAATAATCTTGTTCAATGTTCATTTGCCAACACTGAACTGAACTGTCTAATAGAGACAGGCTTCATCTCCTCAAATCGTTTCAGCTGCACGTTTATAGCTTAAAAGACTCTTGTTTTATTGGTTTTTGTAATGATTGCTAAACTGTCGATGTTTTTTTTTTCTTCTATTTTCCTTCTTAGCTCGTCTTGTTCGTTCATTGTGTGCTTCATATATGGGAGCGTCAAGGTGCGTTGTTCATCTTTTCGTTTTCGTTTCTTTCTCTCTCTCCTCATTTTTATGTTGTTTTTCCGGAAAATGAAAACTGTTTCGTTTTTCTTTCTTTTTTATTATTCCTTTCTCCTCCTTCCTTCCTCTCTCCCCCCTCCCCATATTTGCCTGATTGCTGCTTCCTCCCTCGTGTACAGTCTCTTTGAGCTTAAATTGACTGTCGTCGATGGCCATCTTTTGCGCTAAATTGCCTTTTTGCATTCCTTCGAAAGGCTTCTCTCTTTCTCCTTTCTTTTAAATGTGTATGCGCGAAAAAGACAATATCAAAAGCTTGCAGTCACTTTTATAGCTCACTATCGATTGATCGCTCTCCGTTTTTGTAGTTGATCCGTTCCGTTCGATTTCATCTCATTGTATGTTATCCGTTCGCTTGTCTAAGCCATTCAAATATTTTGTTATAACATCTGCCCTTTTATGGCTTATATATATTTTTTTGTCTTTTTTTCTTTTTCTCTTCCTTTAACAGCATACAGTCTGCTGCTGCTGCTACTACTCCTGCTGCTCCGGCTGTTTATATAATGATCATGCCAACCGTATTCATTTTTTGACCTCTCATCCCTCATTCATATTGTTTTGTATTGTATGTGTGACTGTGTGTGTGGATATCATTAATGAGGAAACAAATTGAGATGACAGCTAAGCCATTTCAAATCTATTGACTATCCATCTTCAAAGAACTTCACTCATTCTAGGAACACGTGAGGAGCCTGCTAATGTTATTCGATTTTTTTGTTCTTCTCATTCTATCTCCCCCTGTATGCTTGATCCTGTCGTCGTTTTACCTGATTGAAATTCCTGTCTTACATTTTGGATTTTCATTTCTCTTTGATGTGTGTGTGTGTGTTGACGTGTGTTCGCTTTATGATCATTTGAATGTTCTTTTTTTACTAATTTTTTCTCACTTTTTAATTTCATTCGCAAACACTAATCTCCTTTTTTTGTTTCTTGCTGGTCTTTCTAAAAGCTTTTCCGACCGGGTAAAAGCTTGATGCTACAGCTTAGCCGTTAAGAGATGTTGTGAAACAGCCCTAGAAACAACATGAAAAAGTGACAGCGAAAGGAGGGTGTGTGTTTGTGTGTGTGTGTGTGTGTTATGTCTTGTCGCAGGTAATGGATCCATGTGGCCATCAATGCTAGATTAATTTGGATAATGAGGGTCGTGCATGGCCATTGAACAACAATCCTCTCATCCTTCTTTCCTTTGTATTTCTTTTTGTTCTCTCTCTTCAAGTTACATTATATTTTCTATACTCTCGATTCATACGTCTGAAGGCCAACGGGAGGAGCGAGGTCTAGCTGGCTGGTTGGTATGCCTGGCTGCCTAGCTGGCTGGCTGACGGCCCAACCAAAAGGGCTGCGTGTATGCATGCGTGCTTATTCAAACTTGGAGATGTGGTCTCGATCTCTTCTCCAAATTGGGCATTGCCCTAGCCTGAACAGGCTGGCTGCTGTGTCTCCATCTGATGACACCTGGCTCATGGGTGTTTGGACCCATTCATTGAACTTGTTTGCCTCACGCCAACCATTGTTCATGCGATAGTCATTTTGACCTCATCATGTTGTTTTTCTAGTCTTCAACAACATATTCTATTCATCTTACTTTTGTCTAAATCTACCACTTTGGCGATTTTGAATTTGAATGTTTGTTTGTTTACATTGCCCATCATCATCATCGCGCATATCAAGCTCAATCCATTTTACACATCTTGCATCTATCGTTCTCATCTGATTTCAAATATTCACCAATCAGTTGTCTATCATTTCAAGGTTGAATAGTTGCTCAATTTCATCGAACTTCTTACTATTGATGAATGTATGTAGCCTTGACGTAATGATTCAGACGAAAAATTAAAAATATTTTTCGATTTCGTAACATATCTCTCCATCTCTCCCTCACTTCCTCCCTCTTCCTGCCTCATTCTCTATATTAGAAACTCTTCCAAATATTTATCCAACTGTTTCCTTTACCTTACCTCATTGATGTTTCAAAAGCTAATAACCACACGAATCCGCACCAACACACACACACACACACACACCCATCTACAGGGAGATCATTCATGTCTCTCGGTATTTCCATATTTAAGTGAATTTGTGAATTGATATGAGAATCTTGAAATCTATTTCATTCTCTCTCTCTCTCTTTCTTCCTCCCTCTCTCTCTCTTAATCCTTTGTTTCCGTTTGACGACTATTCGTTCAAAAAACTGGCCAAATCTTCTCTTTCTTTGGCTGTTTATCAATCTCATTCTCATCGTTTCGTCTTGCTTTCCTTCACCCCCCTTATCATATAGATTTCTTATGAATTTCATTCATTTTTTTATTTTTTCTTTCTCCTTTCCGTTAATGTACATCACACTTGGCAGATGTTTTCTTCCTTCTCTTCATTAATTATATGTTAAATCTGCCCCCCATCTACCCTACCCTTACCCTCCTTCATAATCTCCTTTTGAGCTGTCTTAAGCTAAACTCTAGTAACGAACCATCTGGACTGTCTGTGTTTTCTCAGTTTTTTTTTTTCATATTTTCATGTACCAAATGCTATTTGCTTCCTTATTCTCTATTAATTTTCTTTTGTAAATTGTTCAATAGGTAGATCGTTCATTACCAAGAAGGAAGTTGTGTGAGAGAGACAGACAGAGAGAGAGAGAGAGAATGAAAGACAGTAGAAGGGAAAACGAAACCGTCAAGGCCAACTCGGAATGACCAATGGCTTCTCTGAGATTTGAAAATGCGCTAAATTAGAATGAAAAGAATGTTTTTTCTTTTCCTTTTTTGTTCCTTTTGCTTGAGAATCCAAAAAAAAAAGCAGTCGTTGTGACCTTTTATATTCATTTTATTGAAATGAAATTGAGTCATTTGGGTTTACAAACCTTCATAATCGTCAAAGGATCGTAATGGCTTATGGCGTTAACTATTTGAACAATCTGAAAATTGCTTGAAGGAGAATATGTAGACGAAGAAGGTGATGATGATGATGTTGTGGTGGTGGTGGTGGTAGAAGGATAGGATGAGATGGTACCGAGAAATGAGGAAAAGAGAGGATGAATGAAGTTTAGAATTGTTTTGTTCTCATTTACCTTCTCACAATTTCATTTTGACCATTTGGCTCATCTTCTGTCTTCTGTCTTCTTCTTCAAACCTTTCGCTTCTTCTTTTTTTCTTGTGTCTTGGTCTTCTTGTGTGATTTTAATGAGCTTGAACGCTTGAATTTGCTCCAAAAGATGAATGCAAAACCAGCTTTTTCCTGGTTGTGTCCAGCCATCTCACATGCTGAAAGAGAGAGCGCAAGTGTGAGAGCTCCCAATGAGAGAGAGAGAGAAAGAGGTGATGGTTGGTGGTGGTGTTGATTTGAGACTTTCGTCGTTCAAAAGAATTGATCGTATCACTTTCTTGGGCGTTTCTTCTTTCATTTCACACAGTCTCAGCTGTTAGTATTAGTTTACTTAATATATATAATATATATTGATGTCGTCGTACTTCGTCCGCTGATCATTTTCTTCTGTCAGGACGAAAAAAAAAGAAAAAAATGCGGCCAACAGGCCTATGCTGACGTTCCATGTCTTTCAGTGTCTGTCGTCCTTTAGCCTTACTTCTTTCATTTTTCGTTCAAATTAACAAAAACTTTTTTTTCTTTTGTTTTTTCGTTTTTTTTTTCTTTTTTTTTTCATAAAAAAATTTTTTTTTCTTGCAGGTTCTGCCTTCTCCAAACAGTTTGTATGTGTTTGACAACAAATTGATTCAGCGAACGACGACGTTTAATAAGAGAAAAACGAAAAAAGTAAGTTTGAACATCGTTTTATATCTGAAGATGACCATCATTGACCATCATTGTGTGTATGATGTGTATGTGTGTGTGAGAGTGTGAGTAGCGTTGTCCTCAAGTTCTAATTGAATGAGCGGTGAATAGTCACGAACGAACAGATGAGATGAGCCTCAGTAGCATTTCCGCTCATATAAATCTGAATTATTACATTCTATTTAACACTTTTATTCTCATCATCAAAAAGTATGATAAGAAGAATGTGAATGCTTTGAACCTTTGATTATCAACCTTCTATCTTACTCTCTTACTCAATACCTTCCCCTCCTGTCTATCTCTCTCTCTCTCTCTTTCCTCATCTGTAACGACTTAACTATCTGTAATAGCTTATTAGGAATCCCCTCATCTCACCCACTTCATATTTTTACACATAAAATATGATTGGTCAACAACAATTCATTTGTGTCTTATCTTATCTTTTCAGAATTAGAGACAAGATGCCTTCTATGTTCCGTTCATTATCGGCTCGGTTCAGGCGCCAGCCTACCGCCCAACGGATGGCGACTCCGAAATTCGATCCAAAGAAGCAAGCCAGCTGTAAAGTACTGTTATTGGATGGTACTGACCTTAACATCATAGTGTCGGTATGTTTTTTGTTTTTATCCTATTTTGGCAATGTTTTAAATGATGCATAGAATATGGATAGAAGATGAGTATAGTTTTACTGCATAATTGAAGCCAATGACCTTTTGTAATTTTGTGTTATTGGAAAAGGATGGGGTAGGGTAGGGTAGGGGGGGGGGGGGGAAAGGGAGGCTGATGGTTTCTAGGCGTTCGTTTTCGCTGAGGTCACCACTACTACAACACTACAACTATACAGCATTTTCGTTTCCGCATGGCTTAATTATATTTTTGGAGTATAGTGGAGAGGGAAGGATGGGTCTGTTGTCATATTACTTGGGACAGGACATTCTATAAGTTCAAACAGTGATGATTGTAACTAATTAATTGCGCGAAATGAGGAAAACTAAATGTAAATGCATTTAATAGTTAAATGAATGAAGTGAGATGAGGGAAAAATGAAAGATTAATTATATATTTATACATATAGTTAGTGAATTGATTGTATAGTTAAAGGTCAAGTAGTTTTCATGACACTCAAGCAGGCTTAGCTGCCATCACAAATCGCCTCTTAGCTCTTTGATAAATCGGTATGAAGAGCCTCAACCACTTATGATGATAGCTCATCATTAATTGAAATATTTTTTTTTTGTTTTTCCATTTCTTTTGTCTTTGCATCTCGTCCATTCGATACGATCCGGATTTGTTTGATTGAAATCCGGACTGTTTGACAACTTAGTTTGATTTGTCTCCAAGTGCTTTTCAATAAGAAAGGCGATGTGTGTGTGTGTGTGTGTGTGTATATATGCTTTATCAAATAATCAATAAAGTCATGTTATTATCATACAGATTATATTGTACTGAAGTGTTAAAGTTTATAAAAACGAAAAATTGTGTGAAAGGATGAATTTGAAACCTCAAACCTTGAGAGCTCACCACCACCACCACCATCATGTGAATCATTGTTACAATCATAAGGCGGCTATTGAAAGAGGAAACTTGAAGAGCTATAAAAATGATTGAATAACAATATGAAATATCAAATGAAAAAGAATATAAAAAAAACAATTTTTATTTTATTGTTTTGTTGCAGAAGAATGCTTTGGGCGAAGAAGTATATGATCAAGTGTTCTATTCACTTGATTTGGAGGAACGCGATTACTTCGGATTGTTATTTACAGATCAATACAATGTTCAGGTATATTATAATATATAGTTAATGATCAATTTATTATAATCATATAGCATTGGCTGGATCCTGTTAAGAAGATTGCCAAACAGGTGCCTATTGGACCCCCATTCACATTCCGTTTTCGTGTCAAATTCTTCACAGCCGAGCCATGTAGTAACTTGAAAGAAGAGTTAACAAGGTTTGTGAAGAGATGATTCATTGTGATCTTATAGTTCATATGTTATAGATATCAATTCTTCTTACAATTGAAGCATGATATTCTTTCTGGACGATTGAATTGCTCCAAAGAAGTTGCTATTGAACTAGCTGCATTCACCTTACAGTGTAAGTCATCCTATTCATCTTCTTATCTTATTCATATTCCTTTTTAGCTGAATTAGGAGATTATAATCCTAAAGATCATTCTGCTCTTCTCATTTCTGAATTCCGTTTCCATCCAGAACAGGATGAGAAGATGGAACTCGACATCTTGGAACGATTCAAACTCTGTCGCGGACAAACACCCGCACAGGCTGAATTGAATTATCTGAACAAAGCAAAATATTTGGAAATGTATGGTGTTGATACTCATAAGGTTGAAGGAAAAGATGGCAATACGTATGTTTAACCACATCTTCTATCAATCTCATTCATTTCCATTTAAGGTATACGCTCGGTTTAACGCCACAAGGCATGCTTGTATTTGATGGAGCACAAAAGATTGGATTATTCTTTTGGGAAAAAATTCAAAAGCTTGATTTCAAGAATAAACGAATTACACTCGTCGTCGAAGAAGATGCTGATTCATCGGTAAGCAATATTCATGATTCTGTTAGTTATCTCATATTTCTATAGAATAATGGCCAAATTCAATTGCATACCTTTGTCTTCAATCTATGCTCACATAAAGCTTGTAAGCATTTATGGAAATGTGCTATAGAACATCACACTTTCTTCCGATTGAAAGTTCGTCAATATCCTAGACAGAATAAGATGCAACTTTTCCGTTTGGGAAGCACATTCAAATACAGGTTTGCTTTACAGTACTACGAAGGCATACTAATGACTCTCTTATAGAGGAAGAACTGAATATGAGACTGTACATAAGGATACTGGAAGATTATCAAGAAGAACATCTTCGACATTTGAAAGAAGACCTAGTCAACGATATGGACCACGCCAAAGTCATGCAGCTGTTCGCCAACAGAAACGTGAACTCATACGTGAGCAAGTTATTGCAACCATCAACGCCAACACAGCTGTACCAACGGGTGATTTGATTAATCATAGCGTTTCTGATTCGGCTATCATCTCAAATCAACAACCATCTCATTCCATATCTTCTAGTAGTATTACTCCTAAGGTAATTCTTTGTTTTCTGCATCTTATGAAGAACAACCAATTTCAGACAGTCGATGCCCGTCTTGATAATCCATTCTATAGTCAACCATCCACTGCTAGCGGCTCTCATATAAGACCTCCTACCGCTACTGCCTATCAATCTCATAATCATGTGACGATGATTCCTGTTGGTACCTTACCTTCCGAAAAGGTATCCTCGTGCTCAATTTTGTTTTGATTCATAATGTCTCTCTAGAAGCTTTCTCCGCCATCAGAGAAGGCTCAAGTAGTTTCGGAGCCATTCCCTGTCACATCACCCTCTAGATCGACAAGCAGAATACCCAAATATGTTGTCGCCCCTATGCAGGTACTACTTTTCACTTATTTTTTCCTTAAATGCTTAGCTTGCTGCTTTTCCCTATACACCATATACCATGAAAATATACTCCAAACCATGCTTACTTACATTCTTGCCAGAACGAACAGCTATCGACTCCTCTAACACCTCCACCCTCTGAAGGAACAACGCCAGAGAAGGAGAACAATCCAGTCGAATCGGTTAACGAAGACAAGCTTCTCTTTTCACCTGCAAGCTCTTCCTGCTCATCAAGCGATATGACAACATCTAACCCTCCCAGCAATGCCAATTCACAAGCTACCATTCCTAACACGGCTATCCCACGCCCGAGCAAATCGAAGCTTAAAGAACCCACCAAATTTTCATCAACGACCCCTTTACAGGTTTGTGCTTTTACATATAACACATCAAGAGCGTTCCAAAGCGAATGCATAACTAATCCTTTATCTAATAATGAGCTTATCTTCTGAATTTAGCCTACTGGCCACAGTCGAATTCCTAAAATGGCAAGTGGTGGTCGTATGTATCAATCAAATGGAGGTTTCGGGTAAGCATTCAAATCAGAACGCACAGAACGGCTGCATTCTCAATACGATGACGTCCAGAACTGTTGCATTCCGTATCAACCAACTATACAACAAACTGATAATATTCATTTGTAGGTCTGGTGGATCAAGCATCACATATATCCCAATTGCCAATTCCGGAATTTCGTCAACTCAAAGCCGTGTCATAACTCAATTATAGATAATTGTATAAATGCAAGTGTGTGAATTCTATATAAGTCTAATCATTATACATCTCGGTTATATTTACATTTTGAGTCTTCAGATCATTAATCTTTATTTTTTTTAAACTTTTTCATTTTACAATATATGTTTTACTCGAAACAGCCGCCCTAAGGTTTGACCGTACCAATTTCTCATTTGTGCAGCATTAATTTATTTCATTTGGAATGTATGTTTTAAACTATTGTTTTATGAAATTAAATTTCTTTTAAATAAGAAAAATTAGATTTTCTCTTCTTTTTTTTAAAAATCAAAATCATATACGTGATGCGCTTGCTCTCTCTCTCCCTCTCTCTCTCTCTGTCTGTCTGTCTGTCTCTCACTCACTCACTCTCAATGTCCCAATTTCTCGTTTTCACTCCATTTTGCCCAACAGTCTTCAAGAAGATGCCGTTTGTTCACATTTTTCTATTTTGCAATTTGTTGATTCTCTTTGTATATTTGTCTTGTTGCGAATTTTTGTAAATGTTGTACATTAGATTATGTCTGTTGTCTATTTGATCACAAAAACGTTTTTTGACGATTGAATAGGTAATAAGGAGACGAAGAAGAATAAGAAGAAAGTTTTATTTTGAACAAATGTCTTACGTTTCGTTTATGTTGTTTGAGAGAAATGGAAGAAACACAGGCAAACTCTATTCGATGAAAGTAACTTGAAATTGATTATCAGAATGATGGTCGGCTCATCATATACTAGTCAGTCATATTGGATGTTGGTGTGTATGATTGTAGTAAGTCAACAAGAAATGATATAATTATTAGAATATGAGCTAGAAGCATATACTTCAGCTATGAGATGGATTGATTGGAGCAGTGAATGCTTCTGCTGTCATTGGACGATTTCTGAAATTAAGATGTTGAGATGAAGTTAATTGAGAAGTGAATGAGTGCGGAACAGGGTTTGGTGCATCGGTAGGCATTCGGTTCCGTCGCAAACGAACGGAGCGATAAGGAAGAAGGTTGATAGGTGAGGGGGTAATTAAGGGAAAGAAGCATAGCAAAGGTTTATTAGCATAATTTATAATTTAAATAATGAAATAGTTTGAAAGCTATTTTATGTAGTTTTCCGCAGATCATTCATTGATTATTTTCAGTTTCCGAATTTGGCGCCTGTATCAGTGGTAAGGCAACCGGCTCCAAGACCGAAACCAACTCCTTTAGGTCCAAATTTACGTCCGTGACACTGTTTGCAGTACAGTTCAGCTTCATGTGGAGCTACTGTGCATGAGTCAAGCATCTTATTGCACATATCTAAACATGATATTGAGTTTACCAAGTTTAACTGCATTTCTTAGACTTCTCTCTCATCAACCTCCACTTGTGTTGCTAACCCTGTCATTGTTGAGATGTGAGTAATACAGGACAGTTAGAATCAGAGCATGCATGCACATTGAATGAAAATATAAAAAAAAGATACTGACGTCATATCAACTTCTTTATTTCCGAATTGTTCTCCAGTATCCATTGTTAATGAGCCGGCTCCGATTCCAAATCCTACGCCCTACACACACACATAGTTGATGAGATATACATTGAGGTTAAATGAACATTTAGAACTTACCTTTGGTCCATATCTTCTACAATGGCATTGCTTACAATATAATTCTGCTTGATGTTCACAGCAGTTTGTAGAGTCAAGTAACTTATTACACATAGCTTAAAAACAATTGACTTGGACAGTACTGGACAAGACATGAGATAGCTTCAACTTTTCTCAGGATTTCACTCTCTCTCTCTATCTCTTTCTCTCTCTCTCTCTCTCTCTCTCTCTCTAATACCACGTATGTACAGAGTAAAAGAGAGAGAGAGAGAGAGCGGAAGGCTTTTTTTTCTCTTCCAAATCTCTCATAATCTCTGTAAGCAAACAGTTGGAGTCCGGAAACACCATGCAGCCTGTTTTGAGCACTCCGATTTTCTAGATTCTCTCCTTCCACTTCCTCTCAAGCTGGACAGGTTGCTAAGTAAATTTTTCATATTTTAAGTGATATTCATACGTAATCGAATTGCATCTCGTATCGATTTTGTTATAAAAATTCTTTCGGCACAACCAAGTGACTGTTTACGCCTTAAGCAGCTGCCTCTCATTTAATTTTTCACATATAATTTTGAGCATCTAACTACTGTATCTATGTAATCTTTACAACACAAGGTCTTTAAGTGTTCTGTGATTGTCATAGTAACAGAAAAGAAGAAGAAGATGAGAGATGATTTGTTATCCAAAACTCAAAACCATATGTGTTTAACAGACCAAACTTATTAAACGCCAAAACTACTCTATTACTTCCTCTCTCTCTCTTCCTCTCACTCTCATCTCTCACTTCTTCAATCGTTTTTTTACAAAATTCTGGAAAAACTTACTGCATTTGAAGCAGAATTTGTGCCATTTGTATCCACCGGCACACATCTCCTCAGCGGCATAGACTGACTTTCCGCATTTAGGGCATTTGGGGTGCTCAACAGGCTTGAATGGCATTACGTACTGAATGGGTTGATTAAGACTATTTAAAATTTCAACAAAAAAATTAATTAAGGTGTTAAAAATATGAGAAAAGAAGTAACGACGTGCTTCGCACCGAAAGAGACGACTGAATTGACAGAAAAAAAAAGAGTGAATAGCAAAGAGAGGTGAAAGAGAGATATAGGGAGGTGGAAGAATGAAGCAAGGTTGGGGGTGGAAAGGAGTGGAGAAAACTGACGAACACACTGTTTGGCTAGAAATAACGCTAAGAAACATTACACACCGAGGGGAGAATGCAGAATTCCACGTGTGTTGGTAAAGAAAGTTTGTGAAATAAGAGAAGCGAATGCTTCATGAGATCAACAGCATTTGAGCTACAAGAAATATAAAAAAAACTGTCAGCAATAATAAAATATAAAATAAAACAACTAATAATATGTTGTTTTATGAAGCTTTCAAGTAGTTGAAAGGCGGGATAGAGGAGACAGCGAAGAGGGAAATGAGAAGCCATGTGGCTTTTGGTACTCAAAGAAACAAATAATTATTTGAGATGAGAAAAAGAAAAAGACAGAAGTACGCAGAGCAGAGAAGAACGTCCCAGAAGTTAAAATGTAATTTAATGCCTCTCTTTCTCAACTTAAAGTCTTATGAAATGAAACGACCACCTCTTTCACAGTGAATGACTCACTACGAGCAGCTATTTTCAGGAAGCAATTCCAGGATTACTCATGGTCAAGGTGTTAAGAATATCTGAACGGCTAGGCCAGACATGTTAGAAGTAAAAAAAAGAGATATCTAGTAAAGAACAGAGTAGGAGGAGCGTCTGCAGTAGAGATATGGCATATGAAAGATTGTGGGAGGAACAGCCGTCGGCAGACAAATTCCTTCGAAATCTTCTGAAAACAAGAAAAAGCAAAGTAATATCGAAATGTATGGATGAGAAAAATATTTTTCACTATTTCTTATTGATTTTCCTATTAAATATTCATCAATATAATAATCAATTCATGATTTGTACAGAATGCGAACGGGGCCGCAGGTCGAAGCGACGAACAACTTGGACGACGAGAAAGAGGATTACGATGGCGACAAGATGGAGAAGAACGAACCGAAAGGTCGTTGCGTATAAGTAAATAAAATGAGTTGAAAATTGAGGTGCACAAAGAGGCTGATGAGGCAATCAAAATATTTTTGAGCCTTGTCGATCACCTCTCGATCATCTCATTTCGATATAATCTCATAGTAACTTTCCTTGTTGGAGCACTGGCACCGACACTCCGCGGCTCCAAGATTAAACTACTGTGGAAAGAGCTTGTGAAATCACCGCTAACTCCAAAATTTTGTGAGGAATGATTCAGCGCAGGAACGAACAACATCCAAAGTTATGAAATGGAAAGTGGTGTCGTGTGACACACGTGAAGACAACCGCTCACTCACAGCGGGAGTAGAAATGAAAATGATTTCACGTAAGCTGTGAGCACAACTGCCAATTGTGAGTGTAAAGTCGGAAATGACTGCACGTGGAGGCAAATGACCGCTCACTACCACAATTGCGTCTAGGCGATGACTAAGTGTGTTCGCGATTGGAATAACCCATAGCATAAGAGTGAAATCAGAGATGAATTTATGGTTCGTTCATCAATAACCTACTGAACGCGAACGGAATGAGAGAGAAATAGAAATTTAATTAAATCAACGTTGACAAACTTTAAAAATGTGAGTAACTAATCATTATGCTCCAATATCTTCTGATATAGCAAGAACATGCACAAAGGCATAAACCAATACGGCCACAAATGAAATCGCGGACATAAGAATCCAAACAAAACCCTTGAAAAGAAGTGTCTTCGTTGTGTTTTATACGTTTTGAACTACCTGATACCAATTCAATGTTGCAATATAAATATTCTGTAATATGGCTGTTTGAGCCATCTCTGCCAGTTTTTGAGCGATCGTACTCATGGCATAAGCTTTGCCAATCTAAACTTCCAGTAAAATTATAGACTTAAACTTTGATTCTAACTTCATCTGGTTCTACCAGGCAAGACATAAACGAATACGTGAGTGGGTTAAGAAGACCATGCAAACTTCCAGGCAGCAAACTAGCGAAAATAACCCAGGTCGCCTTAAAGATTGTGGTAAGTAGCTTAGACTGATAAACCGTACTTTAGCCAATCCGATCATGAGAACACAAGCTCCCATACTACTTATAGCGAAACATATGACCATTGTATCTTTCAACTTCAACCAGTTCTTGAATACGAGCATACCAACCAGCATTCCCAAGATTTCTTAAAGTGGGTTTTGTTAAAGAGATGAAATTCTAAGAAAAACGTACGAACTATTGGCCGCCATGATTTGTAGTCAGCATAAGTGGATGAAGTCCATTCGAAGGGTGCGAGACGTGTATAAGTACCGATTAAACCTAGATGAGAAGTGTGTTATGACAGTGAGTGGAATAAAAACCTTTCTCTTCTCCAAACACAAGCTGATCCAGGAAATTGGCGAAGAAGCATAAATATAAGAATAATCGCTTGTGCCCCTCTCTGGGAATGATAAAAATGTGACCCGCTTCATAAATAGAATAAAAAGATAAATAAATGATTTGAAGGAGCGTCTTTCTGAAATATGGTTGAAGATAACCAGAAATGACAGTCTTTTATACTTCTCAGGCAAATCTACAGCAACTATTGGACTCTCTTCATCTGCTGTGGCAACTATCTGCTCCTCTCTTGGCACGGCATGCTTCTTCTTCGGAACAACGTTCGTCAGAATTATGATTCCAATTATAAATGTCAAGGCATACATTCCTTATAATGACTTATTTCACTGTTCACAGTTTCATCCAACCTTCAGCGATTCCAAGAATCCCAATTTCAGAGAGTAGGTCATGTTGAAGAATAGCTCGTACAGTACGAGAGGACACAAACGATCCCAAACTGAACATTATGGAAACAATAATCATCCGGATGGACAACTTAAAATTGTAATTGTTGCTTCATTTCTTTCTTTCTCTTCACCGTTTTTTTATTATCGAATGTGTCTGTCACATATGCATTAATGCAACTCATGGTCAATAACTGATCGCCGAGAAGACCTTAATGGGAAGGAGGAAGTAACTATTTTTGAAGTGGATTGAGTGATACCTGCAATAACAGCAGTTGGGAAAATCCATTCTAACGACCAGTTGGTTTCAGGAGAATACATGAGCATCCGCACTGTAAGATGTCCTTATGGGGATCAAGAAATCAGACTCACGTGCTGTTTCTACTATTAAACTGTTCAACCCGATCAGGAGTGGTAACTTTCTCCCGTAGTGATCACTAAAACCACCTGAACAAGAATAAAATCGATCTGCTATGCTCCGTTCTACCAACCATACATGATACCCAATATACAAGCAATAGGTAAGTTAACATATTGATAGTTATTATCCCATTCAACCATTTTTGTATTGTAAAACTTCTTCAGTTGGTCATGGGTCATGTTAGCCATAGGTGGGGGATACACCAACTTCATTTTGTCTTCTGCTAACTTGGGAATCACTATTTGTCTAAAACATCATAAGCACATTGAAGTTAAAGAGGCGGCGCACCTGAAAGAGTTAGCAGCGGCTAATAGGAACATGATGGGTTCCACCGTGATTTTCAGATCTTTGATGAACTGAACGATGGCCGCCATTTTGGCAAGAAGCACTGAAACACATTATAAACAAACATAAAGATTTTTTTAAGATGAGAATGAGAACTTGATGAAGTGTTATCAGGGTGAGATGGAAAGATGAAGATAGTGAGCGGTCATAGATTAATACATGAGCAGGGCTTTACCTGATGAGGGTTAGGCAAAACAGCTTACCATTACTCTTTATTCGAGGAAAAATGTTACAAAATTAGGTAGGGATAAGAAATGCACAAATAAAACGATTTGAGTGATCATTATGCAACTACATCGGTGAAACCAGCCCGTAAAAATCTTCAAAGTTCAAAGACTTCGTGAGTTAGATCGTAGAAAATGAGATAAAAATGATGTGAGACCAAGTGATAATTAACTAAAACATACATTATAGTTCAATATAAACAGGATCTAATGCTCTAAGGTTTGAGATATTTTGTAAAGTTGGAAAACTGCTATCATTACTTGTCTCCATTCAGGTACTGAACTATGGAAAAGCGTAGGAGTGATGGCTTTAACATCGAGAGTTTCGGCGAGACTCACAGCCAGATCTTCACAGTCTCCTTGAAGATCCATGCGATTCAGCTACAACGGAACTATTTCAACGAGCGGAAACTATGCACAAACCAGGTCTGGCCGACAATGATGTATTAGAGCGCAGAATAGTTTACCGTCCTCCCAATCACTGCTGAAATTCGTAACAGATAGAGGCTGATAAGCCATTAAACTGAAATATCATATCAACATCAGAATCAGGCTTCCCGATACTCACACTTCTTGTACCCATGTCAACAATGAATTTCTGCGTGATGAGCTTTGGAATCGTTTCATTAGATTCGTCCAAACATCCTCATCACATTCAGCGTTTGTTTTTGATTTCTGTTGTATTCTTTAAAAAATGCATCAAAACTTATTGTCTTTTCAATTTCTCAAACCTCGCCAATTCAGCTTGAGCCTCTTCTTTCTGTGCCTGAGCGACACGCACAACCAACAGCATATCCTTCATCAATGATTTATGCTCTTCCTTACACTTCAAAAACTCCTTTTTCGTCGCAACGAGTTCTTCATTGAGAGCAGAGTTCTTCTTTTGAGCTTGGAGAAGCATTATGTTTTCCAAGTTCTCATCTTGCACATCTATTTCTTCAATTAAATGCTCGTTGTTCTAAACAATAACAATGACAAGTATCAACGTGGCAGAACACATAAGCATCCACGCAAATTTCGTGTGGAGTGTTTTCGCTATTGTTATCACTCAGACGATGCGGAGCGGTTGTTCCAGGAATAGTTCAAATTAACACGAACCTGTAAATTTCCCAACATCAAGCGACTAGTACTCTTGCGACGTCTCTCAATGAGCTCATTGGTGATTTCGGTAAGTTCCTTAGCCTATGTTATATTTGATACTTCGATACCGAGAGCAATTTCTACCTGTTCCGCATTTTTCTCTTCTAAAACTTTTTTGACTTCAACCATGCTATCATATTGCTCCCTAATGTTGTCCAAAGACTCTCTCATCTTAATAGTATTAGTTGTACTTCAAATTTTTGAATGTGATAGAACTTCGTTCAATTCTAAGAGAGTTGCTTGGAGTTCTTCTTTAGTAGCATCCAACTGCTCATTTGCCAAAAAAAGCTTCTCTTTAGCTTCGTCGTCCTGAACGATAACGGTAACTCAATCGAGGGACTAGACTGGTTTACAATGATTGTGATGGTTTTCGGTTTAGGAGGAGTTTTTTTCACAGCTGCTGTTTGATTCACTGGACTTGCATTGACCAGTCTTGGTCTTCTAGGAGTCTGAGTCCTAGGTTCTGATCTTCTGAGAATCTGTTGAGCAACTACTGATTTTGGAGCAGCTAGTCGAAGAGAACGCGGGGAAGATAACACACGACCCCCGTCCGACCTAAGGAAAGGAATTCCAATAAAAAACTGTTCCACTTACTTATCAAGTAGCCCAGTTCTTCTGAGCATAACAGAAGGAGAAGCTGTTGCCGCGGGTTTTGGCAAAGTTTTGGAAGGAATAGATCTCATATCTTGTCAAAAAGCCTCATAAAAACATATTGAAGAGATTATAGAGGAATTCGGCGACGGAAACTTTGAAACCGGAATCAGTAGGAAGGAGTGACACTCAATTTGAATAAAATTTTATGAAAAATAACAAGCTACAACTACATAAAAATCTGGGTATCTGTTCTACACACAGGGCAATTGAAGAAGGTGAGAGGTAGGGCGTATCTGTTGGAAGATATAGCGTACGAAATATGAGATCGGAAATGATTGTAAGGCAAGAAAAACCGCATTTTACATCTGAAAAGAAAAAAATAGATAATCTTCTTATTATTCCGCTTTCACCTATCACAAGAAGCACTTTCCATTTGATTAGTTGCACGAGCCTTGGTTCGTTGACCTCTGGAAATTGATAATGAAACAATTTCAAAGAAACAACCAAACCTATATTTTCTATTATCTATTCGCTGAGCCGCATAATGCATTCGAGCTAATGTGCTTGGGGCACCTTTCGCAGGAGGAGCAGGACGATATGGATCGGGATTGTAATATAACTGCCTGAAATGAGGAATGAACAGGAGTTGCTGTATCAGAACCTAACCCATCCTCATCAGCATTTGCTACCGAAGCTTCGCTTTTGTACGTCCAACGCCGATTGTGTTCGACATAAGTTCTGCAGAATAGTTTGTATAATAGGTAATGGGATTATCTGCTCACTTTGGATATTTGCGAAAACCTGTCATGTCTCCTGTTGCATTGGAGCACGATGGTTCAGCGACTTCTTCAAAAGCAGCAGCTTGAGGAACGCATTTTTCATCGACATGCACCAATTCTGACTGTAATAGCTTTTCCTCATTATCGAGGGAATCGTCTAAGACGGAATTATCAATAACATTAGGTTTATTATCCTCAAATTCTAGAGGAGGAAAAGCCTTAATAAGAAATATAAAAATGAGATTATATGGGAGAAGGAATATACTTTAAGAAGGGGCACACTAGCTGATCCTTCATCTGAATAAACATATGTAACAACGTGAGGATTGGATCTTACTTCACTATTTCTAAAAATTATAAAAATGGGAATAAAATGAGGAGGGGAGTACAAGAAATACCTTTGAACGCATCGTATAGCCGTTTGTTTAGTGGGAGGATACAAAGTGTAAGGCACATAACCGCTAGATCTCATCTGTGACGAGTGAAAAACAGTCTCTCCTATACATGATATTAGGAAAAATAAAAAACTTAAGGAAGATATTTAAAGTTTTTGAACTTGAAAAAGAAAAGGATTGGTCTAGGGTGTAAAGTTCATACACGTAATACATGACGATTGTATCAAAAAATTATCGAATAAACACATGTACAAAATGAAGATCGCACTATCTACAAACAAGGATATTCTAAGATAAGACAGAAGTGATGAGATCATGAGAAACTGAATTCTTCCGCTAAGTTAACTACACAGGTCGCTGGTTAGATCCACTCGTATTCGGAGCGTTGCTGGAGGTGTTCGCTGAACCAGGATTGCTACCACCATTTGGTTGGGACTGTTGCTGCTTTTTTCTTCTACAAAACTTTCTATGAAGATGCCAATGGCTTTGCTGACATTCCACACTACAATACGCCGTGTTCCAACAACAGTGATAAATTGCCTGAACAGATTTATTTATTTACATACCACCACTTCAAAACTACCTCGTTCTCGCATTGCCAACACCACTGCTTCTTCTTGGCACTTTGGATTTCCCGTTTATGTTTTTCTTGCACTTTAGCAACTTCCGTTTTTAACGTTTCCCGGTATTTTGATTCAAGTTCAAGTCTTTAAAACACAAATAAGAAAAGGCCAAGAAAGCTTCACCATTACCTGGTGCCATCCAATTCTTCTTTGAATTGGGTTAGTAAATCGGTCCTAATTTTCTGTTGGTCAGAGAGAAACTCTTGATGTAACTTAAAACACCGAATTCGAAAGAACGAAACAGTGATGCTTACCTTCTCTGTCATATCAACCAGCAACTTTTCCCTAGAAAATTGGAAATCCAAGCACCACTGCCGATGTAGTTCTATGACCATATTGCGAGAGTTATTGTCTAGCATACTAAGATCAACCTAACATAGTTATGAATGAGAATAAGAACAAACTAAAACTACTTACGGGACATTGAAATTCCTGAGAAGGCATATTGTGGTGGTCGGCATCTCCGTGATCTAGATGGACCTTCTCTTCTTCAATCCCGTGATGATGGTCCACAATCATATCATGCTGACCTCCATGTTGACTTGGATCTTGCATCATCTTGTCCTATGCTGAAAACTTCATCTTCAAATCCATGAAGTCTTACTGTGCATAGCACAATTAGCATAAAATTTAAAAAAGAAAATAAATTTTACGGTAACATGGCGTCACCACAACTACGCACACCGTAAGCCAATATAAATTTTTTGAAATGAACATATCGATACTAACATTCTAATTCAAATATGTACGAACATAAACTATTTTTTTGTAAGATTTCTTTGAAAAATTCAATAGATTTTTATTATCATGATGAATAGCTTAATATTTATAATTCATACTGCACTTTCAATCAATATATAGCTTTTTTATATTTCTTTCCGACGAACCTTTCAATTTACGATCTCCGGTGCCTGTTAAAATGAATGCAGCTCGCCATACCAATGTTTCATTTCTTCTTTATTTTGAAAGTATTATATTTGGATAATGTAATCCTCTTCATCTAAACAAAAACATAAAATTTAATGCCTTCATCATCGTTCTCTGATTCTGTATGATTGTTTGGTTGTGTGTGAATCGCATAGTTTAAAGGGCTCAAATCGTATGTAAAATCTCTAAACCGAATATATTTCTGCAGGTATGAATCGTGTCGTTGCTTCTCGTTTCTTGGCTCTCCGCCGCAGTGTTATGAGACAACCCCAACGCAATGGATCCCACGGACATGAGGTGCGTAGTTCTGATAATGATAATCGTGACCTGGTGGTTTAGATCGTCAACCCCGGACCTCCATGTACTTTTGACTTGATGCCAATCCCCCATCAATCCTACCAACAGGTAAATATATTCTTTCTGTAAAATCAAAATCAACTAACTATTGTAGGTCCACGGAGAATTGAACGCCAAATTCAACACCATGCTTGCTGTCGGTTTCACCAGCTTTGTTCTGTCCTTCGCCTATGTAAGAAACTTGAAGTAGAACAGATTGTTAACAAAACTGTTTTAGGCCGTATACGAAGATGTATTCTCTTTCGAAGCTATGCGTGCTCCCAAGTTCTACCGTGAACGCAAATAGATTGATAGGATATATAGTTCACAGACGCGATTGTAATAGAGATCCGTTTATTAAAAGAAATAAACGTGTTTTGATTGTTTTGTTTATTAAAGAAATCGTAAAAGCGAAGTTTACTTGGTGCAGAAAGTTGCTGATTTTCTATAAAGTTTTGATTTCGGATATGGCTGCCGATGATCTTTCAAATACCTCAACAAATCGATTAAGGGCTTTGCAGTATAATGAGAAGGTTCTTAGTTAATGTTCTTGTAGTTAGTTTTGTTCTTGGTTTAGGTTGCTTCCCTAAACAAACAGTTCATTAAACAACTCCAGAAATGGATGGAGCAAACCCCTCATTATGATTTCGTACGTCACTCCTACTCTTTCCATCTCAGGTTCTATTCTTCAGACTGATACCGTTAAATCTTATATGGAACATATAAATCACCTTTCTAAACTTTACTCAATTAATCAACATGCCACAGCCGACAACAAACCTGTTAGAAGCATTGCCAAAGCCAGAAGAAGACTAAACAGAGACTCCGTTGATGCTGGCGATGAGGAGGATAAAACTATTCCAAACATCTCAACTCCTGCAGTTGACCCTCCACGACGCAGCATGGCTTTCGGGTTAGTGAGCATTGTTGATCCTTCATTTCAATTTATAACTCATTCAGAAATGTCTCTGAAATTTTCGATGCCAACGCTACGCCAACTGTATCTTCAGCTCCAACTCCATCCACAACCAGAGGTAAACGCGCTATCCGTGGTGGAGGACTTCTTGGAGGAGAAGAGAAAGTTATATTCAAGGGAGCTGGTGGAAATTCAGGTTGGATTTGTCCTATCTATGTTTATACTGTGTTCCGTTCAAGATAACTCTCAAGATGCGCCAACATATCCTGCTGTGACTATTAACTTCCCTAAGCCTACTCCTGGTTTCTGGGCTAAACAATTTGCTGGGTAGGGTTTTCTTGTCATATCCAACATTGCGCTTTGTTTCAGACTACCTCCATCTGAGAAGTTTGACTTCACTGATAACTCTAAAGATGACAAAAAGAACGACGAAACTATTGTCGAGAAGAAAGACGATACCGTTGTAGAAAAGAAAACGGAGACTAAGCCAGCAACGGCTCCAGCTCTCAGCTTTGGTGGTTTCTCCAAGGCCCCAGAAAAAGATAAGGATTCTGCTACTTCAACTGAAACAAAGGAGTGAGCAATCATTCGTTTCAATTTGTTCAATAAATTATTATTTTATAGAGCTCCTAAGATAGGATTTTTCTCAAGTTTACAAACGAGTGCATCCGGATCCGCACCAACCACAACATTCCCCAGGTAGTCGAAGAGAAGAAATTGAACTTACTTTTTTATGTTTAAGCTTCACTCCTGCCCCTTTCACAGGTTTTAATTTCGGATCTACTGCTACAAATGGAGTCGCTAAGCCCGCTGATTCGGGTGCCGCTGGTGAGGCAGGAGCCGGTGGTGATGAAGAATATGTCCCACCTAAGGTGGATGTCCTTGTCAAAGAAGATCCAGATTCATTCTTCACATCTAAGTAAGAGCAACATGTTCATTCTCTGCTAATACTTCTAAACTTGCAGATGCTCAGTTTTCAAAATGTCTAATGGAGAATACTCCAAACTGGGAGTCGGTGTTATGCATTTGAAAAATGTCGATGGAAAGAAGAGTATTCTTGTGAGAGCTGCAGTAGCCACAGGTTGGTTGAAACGCCATGGTTCTTTGACAATTTGAAACATTCTAGGAACTGTCTGGATCAACGCCAGTTTGAATAATACGGTTAAAGTAAGCGGAGTATCCAACGATCCTAAGGGAGAGAAAATAAATGTGAGTAACACTATTGATGAGCTATTGAATGAGACTTGAGTTTCAGTTAATCATTCCTTTATCAAGTACTGAAATGGGTACGTTCCTTGTGAGATTCGCTAGTAAGGCCGTAGCCGACGAGATGAAAGGATTAATCGAGGAGCACACGAAGTAATCTCTATGTTGCATAAAACTTGTTTGTGTGAATACAAGTGTTTCTTAAGTTTGTTTGATGGTTGGTATAAAATAAATTTCATTTCATATATAAAATCTCTCTATCTCTATATATATATATACACATATTTTCTGTTTTTGAAATGTCTGTTTTCCATGTCATGTCTTAGTCTTCGTCAAGATCCTTCGTCTGGATCTCTCTGAAAAGCGCAAAGGATAATTTCATTGTCAACGCCTAATGAACTAACCGTTATAAGCGGAAGGACTTTCTTAGCCGTCACTCCTTCAGTTAATTGAAAGTTCTTTTTGGCATTTTTTTCTCCTTTTCTAGCTTCCTTGTACATGATGACAAGTTTATCATTACGCGTTGGTCCTTCATGCCTTAGTATCTGCAACAGACGTAATCGATGATGGTGTGTATTTGACAGATTATTCGAACCTGCAGATCCATGGATGCGCCAGGATCCAAGAAGGCATAAACTGGGGAGACCTGGAAAAGCATATGTTTACAGCGAGTACTCTTAAGATATGAAAAACCTTAAATAAGGAGTTATTACTACATTTGACTTTTATTACAATCCTAGCGCCACCACTGTTTGTCATGACATGTTTAGAAGCGCCGCCGAAATCTATGAACTCGGCCAAGGGCGGAAAAATGTTGAGAGCAAGAACAGGTAAAGGAGTCGGAGCTTCTCTGAAATTTACAAATTGTATTATTGGACCCAAAACAGGATAAGGAAAACAGCATTTTTTTCAAATGACAGCTAATTTGTGAGAATAATTCTTGTAAATGACACTTTTTCTCTCGATTTTCTGCACAAACCCGCAGTTCAAATGATTGGTGGTAAACAACTCTCTAAATTTGAGAAAAACAAAATGAAACGAACTTGGGAGGGAATGAAAAGAATTCCATAGGATCTAAGGTGCAAAATCTTTCAATCCTTTTTTCACTTGTGTTCATACTCTTCCTGAAAATATAAAAATTAACATATTGACAATGAAAAAATTTGGAAACCAAAAATATCAGAGCGTTGACATTCAAACCGCAGTTTATCGGATAGAAAACGGTTTTGAATATAAATATTAGAGGAAGAGGGAGTGGAAATACCAGACTACTCAAGAAAAACAACGTGATCTATACCATTTTTAGGATGTTTTGGATGGAGAGCAGAATCTCTTCTTGACGTGGCCGTTCTAGAGAAGTGAGGCGGAGCTTTGTAAGGCTCTGTCGCCTAGGGACATACTAGTTGCTCTGAAACATCAGTCGGGAGCATTATTCTTAATCTGAAGGGTCTTCAGATGACTGAGAAGGTAAAAAAGAAAAATAAAGCAAAAAAAGAAAGAAAGAAGAATGTTGACGTCATGAACGATCATATGAGCTGTTAGTGGAGATAGGAAGCTGATGTTGCAACGCATGAGTTCTTAATAATTTCTGACTTATCTACGCGATTGGAGAAGAATAGCTCGAATTTCACGCGATTTCGAGTGCTTTATCGACTTTCAACATTTTTGAGAGTTTTAATGAACTTGTCAAACATTCTGATTAAGCACAAGATAAAATTTCATTGAGGAATAAGAGAGAGAGAAAAAAGCTTTCGCAGAGCATTTTGCTTTCGGATGTCCGAATATTCAACACATTAAGAATGATTGAAGGAATATCAAAGAAGAATAAAGCTTAGTGAAAGTTCAACGAATTGTCTCGGAGGACCAACAGACATGGGCACCTCTGGAGTCATGAGGGGGTTTTATGGATCTTTCTCATTGGCTTCAAGCTCAAAGCGAAAAACGTCAGATCATACTCAGCTCATAAATCATCAAGACATTTTCGTTAAAGAGTGAAAAAAAGAAAAAGTGCTGAAAAGATGCAGAGATGCCTATAAAGCACTAATTCAGAAGTAAATCTAGAGATCATACAATTATTTTTCAACTTGTTATGACAAATCCATAGGGTATCGTAGGTCAATTGACAAAGCATGCTATAGGCAGATGAAGTCGAAAGCAAAGAAAAAGATAAGTTTGAAGGGAAGAGACTGCACTAACTCTCAGAAAAACTTGGATCATCTCTTATCTCTCCTCATATAGCGAGGAAACAGAGAAGTTCAGCGTTTCTTCAAAATTGATGTGCAGTAAACGATGACAGAGACAAGATAACAAGAGATAGACTGGCCTTACTCAGGATTGAATGAGATCATGTCACGCATATCTTTTTTCTTCAGAATTTATTAAAAGCTATTGTTTATGCTCATAGCAATGGGAGCTTCGACAACTACGATAACGAAGTAACCTAGAGATTCTGCTGTGAAAGCTACTGAAGACCAAAGAAAATTGCATAATTGGGCTTTATATAGCGCTGCCTTATGACCAGCAGATTCAAGAAAATTGGAAGTACTTTCTTTATAACTACATAAGAGTGCAAATCCGCAGGTAGGGAATAATTGGAGCGTCGATTTATAAAATATAGAAACTCTCTTTGAGAACAACAAGTGCGAAGAAGAAAATTCCCATCGAACTTCCTCTTACACCTCATAGCTTACATAAAAGAAAGATTTTGATGGCTATTTGACGTCAGAGGGCTATTTTTATTGTTTTACAGCACTCTCAGGTGCTTCGAACGTTAACAGTTTTTCTTTCTCACTGACTAAAGGTCATGATTCTCATTTCATAATGTGAGACGACGTGGAAACATTCGAAGATCATACTTACATTAAATATGCGGCTCACGTATGCTAATGTATTCTCTATTATCTACGTGAGAAGATGAAATGAACTTTCTATTTCGATGCTGTCGACGCGTTGAGCGGTTGCTACTAATACCAACAACGAAACACTGGTCAGTTACCACTATACTATCATAGTCGGTTACCTTATTTCTTGCTCTCGTAGCCGGTGTAGTTACACATACACCGAAAAACATGTACACTAGCAGTACACTGTCGCATATACACCAAGTTTAAACAAGTACACCGATCATTATTTCC